CATAGAAGATCTAATCAATGCAATAACCCAACATGATCTAATTGACATAGACTCATCTAGAACACTCCACCCAATAATTGCAGAGTACACAATTTTTAGGAAAAAATTGAATCAATCCCTTGAAATCCACAAACTACCAAAACTCACACAAGGAGAAATAGGTCATCTGAATAGTACTATAACCAATACTGAAATTGAATTTGTAATTCAAAAGATGCAGAAAAATGAACTCTCCAGGCTCAATTGATTTCACTGGAGAAGTTTATTTCATATTTCAAGAACACAAATTTTACATTCTTGTGGAGGGTTAGAAATCTTGATTCTCCCTTGATTTTTAGAATAGGGTTTTTAGGTAAATACTTGTACGGGGCAAAAGCCCTTGGGTAGGAGGCAACAGCGTACAGCCAGAGGGCAAAATCCCATCTAATCAACACTAATCACTGCTTAGGGATGGGATTGTATTTTAATTATAGAGCTAACAGGTGGTTGTCATACCGATCCTGTTAAGAGATTTTTAAGAATTGCTGCAGGAAAAGATGTGAAAAGATGTTTGCTAGGGGCAAGCTGTCTGTTGTTGGACACTTTGGAGATAATTATACTTAGATTTTATCATAGGAATGTAACTTTTGCTTAAGGAGACTTTGTACTTTAGATAATGCGAGCAGTTTGACCAACTTAGCTTTTCACCAGTTGTATTTTGGAATGTCACATTGTTAATTTTACTGATGTTACTGGTTTCCATTGTTTAAGCTATACTTCGCCATAGACAACTTTTGTAACACTGCCCATGTCCTTGTCTTTACAATAAAAAAATCCTCTAACTGAGGAGCTGCTGAGGTACAGTTCCTCCAGGCTTCTCGTGGCATTCTTTGTGCTTTGAGTAATCCTTTTTTTGGTCTCCATTACACAGTGAGAAGTGTAACACATACTCTCTTCCAGAAAACAGATAATGAAGAAATATTTCCCAACTCATTTTATGAAGCCAGTACTACCCTGATCATAAAATCAGACAAAGACAGTACAAAAAAACTCCCCCCAAAACTACAGACCAATACATCTCATGAATTTAGAAGCAAAAATCCTCAACAAAATACTGGCAAATCAAATATACATATACCTAAGACTAATGGGATTTATTCCAGGTGTGCAAGGCTGGTTCAATATCTGACAATGAACCAACACAATCTACCATATCAGCAGACTAAAGAAGAAAACTATATGATCATATCAGTTGATATAGAAAAAGCATCTGACAAAATCCAATACCCATTCATGATGTGATGACTCTTAGCAAGTAGCACGAAAATCAATCATATTTTCATACACTAGCTGTTGAGCAAGTAGCATCTGTTGCATATTACCAGGCATAGAGGTCTGGACACCTCTTCCCACTGTGCTTTGGTATCAGAGTCACCAAGGAAAACACAATGCATTCAAGCACTGTTTGGATGGAACATCATTTTACTCACATAGAGAAGAGACAGAGCAAGATCAGCTTAGTAGTGAGTGTTGGTTCCCCGTGAACAGGCAGCAGATACAAGGCAATTGACTACAAGCATCCCTCTTGTGCTGCAGCAAAAGGACCTTGTCCCCTCCCCGGCAAAGGACAGATATAGCAGTGGGGTTAGCCAGGTGCCATAAGATGCACATGCTTAAGCAGAGCAAAGGGGCACACATTGAGTCTGAAACAGGGGAAGATATTCCCACACTGGAGATAAGTCCGGCACAGACTGTGAAGCCTCTACCTCTTGGAAAGGAAGTGTTCCAAGCCCAAAGAATATTCCAGGCTCATTCTTAGATGGTTGAGTGGGGGTCTAAAGACTGCATGCATGTGACTGCCTTTCCCAACACAAAAACTAAAATATAGAAGCAAAATTTAAAACACAATACTATTTACATTCACTCTGAAGAAAATGAAATGCTTGGGTATAAACTTAATAAAAAACGCCCAAAGTCTGTAGGCAAAGAATTACTCAACAATAATAAAACAATACAATTAGAAAATAGGCAAAACACATAGAGACATGTTGCTGAAAAAGATAAAGAGATGTCAAATAAGCACATGAAAAGACATTCATCATCACTAGCCATTAGGGAAATGCAAATTAAAACCATAATGAGATATCCTAAGTACCTACTAAAATTGCTAAAATTATAGAGACATGTTGCTGAAAAAGATAAAGAGATGTCAAATAAGCACATGAAAAGACATTCATTATCACTAGCCATTAGGGAAATGCAAATTAAAACCATAATGAGATATCCTAAGTACCTACTAAAATTGCTAAAATTAAAAAAAAAAAAATAGTGACAACACCAAATGCTGGTGAGGATGCAAACAAATCAGATCACTAATACATTGCCAGTGGGAATGTAAAATGGTACAGACACTCAGGAAAACCAGTTTGGTAGTTTCTTAGAAAATGAAATATGCAATTACCATACGATCCAGCAATTTCACTACTGGGCATTTATCCCAAAGAAATGAATATTCATATTCACATAAAAGCCTGTACAAAAATATTTATAGCAGCTTCATTCATAATAGTCAAAAACTGAAAATAATCCAGATGTCCTTCAGTGGGTAAGTGGTTAAAAAACCTGTGATACATAGATACTGTGAAATATTACTTAGCAATATAAAGGAACAAACGATTGATACACAAAACCTGAATCAATCTCCAAAGAATTATGCTGAGTGGAAAAAACCTATTCCAAAAGTTTATATACTGTATGATTGCATTTACATAGCATTCTTGAAGTGACAAAATTATGGAAATGAAGAACAGATTAGTATTTGCTAGGGATCAGGTATGAAGGGATGGGAGAGAGGTGGGATCCTTGTGATGACAGACAGACTTGTTCTGTATGTGGACTCTACCTGGGTCAATCTCATAGTTGACATTGTGCAATAGTTTTGCAACATGTTAGCATTGGGGAAATGGGATAAAGTACACACGAGCCTCCCTGTATTATTTTTATAACTACATGTGAATCTGCTATTATCATTTTAAAAGTTTAATTAAAAAATACAGGAAATAAAGAAAAACATGTTCAGATATGAAAAAATATGTGACATAGTAGATAAGAGGATAAATTTAGGATCAGAAGATCTAGGTGTGTATCCCCAATCTGCTAATTCCAGAGAATTGGACAGCTGTTCACGAAACCTGTTTTCTCTTTATTTTAGGTACATAGCAAGACTAGATTTTCCAGTCTTTGCTGAAGTTAAGTGTGGTCATATGACTAAATTTTGACCAATGGAATGTGGTTAGAAGAGACATGCATTATTTGTAGGGCTTGGTTCATATAACTTGCAGGTGTCATGCTTCATTTTTCTTCCTTCTCCTCTGGCATGCTGCAGAAAAGCATGGCAAATTTGGGAGTCACATTTTAAAGATAGGAGGCTGTGACCCTGAATCACCATTTGGAGGACAATTGATGATGGGAACCCATTTTTAGAATTCACATGAGTGAAAAATAAACTATTTTATTATGCCACAGAGATTTGGGACAGCCAGGACATCTTAACTTAGTCATTCTTGACAGGTCTTCAGAAATCAAGTCCAACAACTTTTCCAGAATATTCTACTGCCTCTCCTGTTTGGATGCGCAGATCCATTGGTTACCCAGGTCCTTTTATTCAATGAGGCAGTATCAGCAATGGCCTCCGACTTTGATAGAATCCCTTCTTTATAACCCTAAATCCAACATTTGAATAACAATTATAACCCCCCACCTTGTTTCAAGAAGGATTTAAAGTAGCTGACAAAAATGCATACACTGTACTAAAATCAAATAGTTTAGAAAGAAAAAAGAAACAAAAAAGAGGCAAGAGCAAGAAATAGAAACAGGAAATTTAAATATTCCCAGGGGTTAGATAAACACAGAAATATATTCCAGAAAGACCTATATGTTTGCAGCCCTCATGTTCATTTCTAGCAGTCTACAAGGTTTATGTGTTACAAGGTTTATTTCACGCTTTTTAATCACTTATCAAGATTTACTTGTATGCCTTTTTAAAAATTAAGGTAAAAAGCATGAAAGCTAGAAGGGTAAATACCACTTATCTTGAAATGGACACCAGAGAGGTTTTCCTGCTATGTGTTCTCACTGAGAGTACAGTGAATAAAGAAGTAAACATCTTCCACAGCAACCTCACGACCACTTATCTTGAAATGGACACCAGAGAGGTTTTCCTGCTATGTGTTCTCACTGAGAGTACAATGAATAAAGAAGTAAACATCTTCCACAGCAACCTCACGGCAAACACTACCACAAGCCAAAGACTGTTAAACTTCAAAACAGAAACATTAAAAGCAAAAAGGGAAATCTAAGTATAAATAGACTCCCTCTGTTTTTCTTATACCTCATTTACTTTTCTCAGAAATTCCCAATAACAACTAAAATGTTTTCTGGGGGTATCACCTAATCTATTGAAAAGGAAACAAGACATCTAGAACATAATTAGTTTTCTCAGTGGTATTCATGCAATTTTGAGTAAATTGCTACTCATTAACAGATTGAGGACTGTCTCAAAAATTCTGAAAGTTTTGACACAAACATAACTGTTCATTGGAAAACACGTGTAAATTTCCTCTGGGTTTTTGAGTAAGAATGCTGTCAGAAAAGATAGAGCAATTTAAATTTGATGTATGGAAGGACTTTAGCTATAGAGTCATTGAGGAGGATTACTTGAGACTGCATAATTGTCCCTAGTGTAAATATAGATAAATTTTAGCAAATTTAAACACATAACATTTAACATCATTATCAAATTTAATAGGCAAAATTCAAACATTTTCTGTTTATAAGGTGAACAATTTGAGATGCACTCCAATTCCCAGTACAATGTATAAAAATATTTTCCCTTCCATATACCCCTGCTACCCTTATTTTTAACATTTTCCTCATGATATGTGAAAGAAGATGTTTTTCATGCCCACAAGGGGGACCCTTTGCACCATAGCAACAGGGTTTACACAGCACAGCTCTTGTTGCTAAAACACCATCTGGTTAAATCCATGGTCTGCCATAAAATGCCAGAAAGCCAAGTCATGTCTTGTCTCCCTGGCCTCACCTGTGAATCCATGCTGACAGATGCAGACATAACCTGAGGCTTCATGGTAGCTGAATGAGGAAGGCAGCCCAGCAACATGTCCATAGTGTTTCTCTGAGGACAGCTCCACACATTCGCCATCAGACCAGCAGGGGTTACTGCTGCATTCATTGATGTCAGTCTCACACTGGGCACCTGTGTATCCTGCAGGATTAAAGTTCAGAGAAGCCGCTGAATCAAAGCCATTAAGTAATAGAGCATATGCCCAAAAGGAAGTGGAGCACTGTACTGGCATCAATTAACAAGTTAACATGCCTGTCCTCAAGGAGCTAGCAAGGGGAATTGGTAGGAGGAGGCTTACATAGAAATAAATACAAGCAGTAGTAGCAATAGGATCACTTTTATAATTCTGATTAATTTTTTTAAAGAAAAATTTGATTTTTAAGTCTTGAAATAAAATGGGATTTCTGGATAACCTTGATTTCACCTGAACATTTTAATGAAAGGTTCCAATTTTACAAATATTCCTACTGCTTAAATTTTTATCCAGAGATAAACTAAAATATTTTTCAAGACAGTTGCTGAAAAGTCAGCAGTATCCACATACCCAACCTTAAATTCTGTTCTTACAACTCAAAGTAAAGGTAAATGGTTATTTCTTAACACTCAATGAACCAGAATAATTTATATCTGCATGGAATTAGTTTGATAATTTTATTAGGAACAGGAATAAAAACAGTAAAACATGAAAGATTTATTCCCTTAAAAAATTAAAATGTTAAATATAAATGAAAATTTCTTACCCAAACTGTTTCTTTGCTTTTACAAACATGTGCACCTGTAAAAAAATGTAGTTTTATTGTGTGTGTTTGCGTATTTAACATAGCTGGAATGCAACCTTCTGCAACTTGCTTTTTTCAGTCTCTTGGATAATCTATCCATGTTAGCGACTTAGCTGTAACTCATATTTTTTAAATACTGCCAAGTATTTCAGAATATGGATGTGCCATAGTTTAACTATTCTGTTATTGGTTTTGTATACATTTCTGCTATTACAATGTTGCAATGAATATCGTTACATAGAAGTATTCCCGCTTGTGTAAATGTGTGTGTAGAACCCTAGAGTTTATGCCCAGAAGTGGAATTTCTGGGTTACAGGGTATGTACATTTTTGTTTTAGTAGAGACTGGCAAATACCTCTAAAGTAGGTGTAGCATTTACACATTACCAGCAGTGGATGAGTGTGAATGTGGGTCCAAACCCTTGCTTTCACTTGCTATCACCAAACATAAAATTTTTTGCCAGTTGGTCAGATAAAAAATAATACCTCATTGTTGTATGGGTTTACATTTTTCCCAGTTACTATTGAGTTTAACACTTTTTGAATGTTTTTTGATCTTCTCATATCTTTTGCCTGCTTTTTTCCATTAAACATTTTTCTTACTGATTTACAAGTATATTTATATACTATGTTCAGTGCTACTTCCAAATTTAAGTTTAGTAGGATAGTAATGTAATGCTGATGGATAATGGGATAACACCAGCTATGCTGTGAGACGGTAGAAGACACGTATGAAGTTCTAACAGGAACACAGTTCAATTTACCAGAAAAAGGGATTTCACAGTCACCTAAAAACCTTTGCAACATCACTTAACTCTGCTGAGGAATGTTTTTAAAACAAAATTTACAATCCAAAATTGTAAAACTCGCATATTTCTTTACTTTAAAATCATTCAATGGCGTCTCCTTTCCCATAGGATAAAATTCAAAATCCTTAATGTGACCTAGAAACTCCCTGCATATCTGGCCCCCTTTCCACCTCAGCATTCTTACCTCATTCCGTTCTCCCTCTACCTCCCTAGTACATTTTCTACCCTATGGCTTCATAATGCTGTTCTCTCTTCTAGAAAATCTTTCTCCAAGTGTTTGCTTGGCATCAAGTCACCTGTAAGGGAGTCTCACTCAGACAGCAGATTTCTCAGCAGAAATCTTACAGGCCAGAAGAGAAGGAGCTGATATATTCAAAGTACTAAAAGAAGAAAGCTGCCGACTGAGAAAACTATACCCAGAAAGGCTGTCCTTCAGAAATGAAGGAGAAATAGTGTATTTCCAGACAAACAAAAACTGCAGGAGTTCACCACCACATGATGAGGCCTGCAAGAAATCCTCAAGATAGTCCTGCTTCTGGAGTCCAGAAACAATAATAATCACCATGAATACATGAGAGAGAACAAAACCCACCAGTAGAGGTGATATGCACACGAGAAAGAGGAAGGAACTGTATCTTACCACCTCAAAAAACCAATGCACACTGAAGACAGTTAATGAAAGATATCTAAAACATCCAAACGAAAATCAATGCAATGCCAGGAATAAGATAATACCTGTCAATAGCAATGTTCAAGGTCAATGGACTTAACTCCCCACTCAAAAGACATAGACTGGCTGAGTGGATTAAATATAAGACCCAACTACATGCTTCCCACAGGAAACTCACCCCACCTGTAAAGACTTATACCGACTAATAGCAAAGGGATGGAAAAGATATACCATGCAAACGGAAACCAAAACCAGGCAGGAATAGCTATTCTTATCTAGGACAAAATAGACTGTAAACCAAAAACTGTAAAAAGAGACAAAGAAGGCCGTTATATAACGATAAAAGGATCCGCCCTGTCTGGCTAACTCTTCTGCAGTTTTTCAACTTTATCTTGTATTCCTTTCTCAGAATAACATCCTTTCATAGATAGAACTGAATAAGATTCCCCTGTTCTCACTCATGCCACTCAATTCTTTTCTTTTTTTTTTTTTTTTTTTTTTTTTTTTTTTTTTTGTCTTTTGTCTTTTTCCGTGTCGGGCAACGGATCGCAACCCTCAGTGGTGCCCCCGTACCGGACCGGGGACCGGCAACGGGATCGCACCCCTCGGTGTTGCTCCCGCGCCTCGCTCAGCCAGTGAGCGGGAACCGGTCCGCATGTGGGATCCGAACCCTCAGGCAGGAGCGCCGCCGCGCTTCCCAAGCGGCGCACTATCCAGTGCGCCACCGCGCCGGCCCTCAATTCTTTTCTTTTTTTTTTTTTTTGTCTTTTGTCTTTTTCCGTGTCGGGCAACGGATCGCAACCCTCAGTGGTGCCCCCGTACCGGACCGGGGACCGGCAACGGGATCGCACCCCTCGGTGTTGCTCCCGCGCCTCGCTCAGCCAGTGAGCGGGAACCGGTCCGCATGTGGGATCCGAACCCTCAGGCAGGAGCGCCGCCGCGCTTCCCAAGCGGCGCACTATCCAGTGCGCCACCGGGCCGGCCCTCAATTCTTTTCTTTCATTGCTGTTCTAGTAATTCATAATGATGTATTTATTTGTGTATATAGTTGCCTGCCTCATGCTCCACAAAAACGGGGACTGTGTTTATTTTATTCACTACTCTACTACTGAACAGCATTAAATAGCAGACCTTCGATCAATGACTGAATGACAATCAGGTAGTACTAATCAGTGGTTGTAAATAACAACTTACATTATAATCTTAGTTTAGTGTATAAACCAGAGAATTGACTGTTAATAAGCAAATAATGAGAATATAATGTGATTGTTCATTTTATAATGTTAACAAAAACCTAAATTCAGTCATATGTCAAATCATAACCACAACATAAATCCTGCTGCTCGATAGAATATTTGTTACATATGACAATTGGGGCCTTTCTCAACCATCTGAAGAAGAAACTTACAGGTAAAAAAAGAAACTAAAAGAACATGTCAGAATAAGATCCCACAATTCTTAGTACTGACCCCCCTGCAGAGCCCTCACAGTCTCTTGAACTTGAATATCTACTTTTTAAATATTTTTATTTCATACTTAAGATTATACAAATATTCAGTAAATAGTTGTCACAACAAGTTTTTATAAATCGACATTTGTTATGCTGCACCGGGCTTACTGAAGAAAGCTTGGACTATTTTCAATTTTCTTCTCCTTCTAAGATTCAAGACTCACACACAGACCAGGTTAGGGAGTAATTTAGAACCACCATAAATCCTTCCTTGCTTTTCCGGCTCATGCATTATCTCATTGCAATTGTGAACATGACGAAGGCTCTGATTTACAGTCTTGCCAGTCCTGTCCCCACCACTGAGGCCCTGTGGGGATTTTATTTGCTGCTCTCTTTTACCATGTATATAAACAGACTCCTTCAATCAAGGCTGTATTCAATAGTTTTAACAAGATTTTCTATAAAACTCGGTACAAAAAAAAATACGATACTGAATCAAGTCCCCAGGGTTCTTACATTATGTTTGTTTGTTTGCTAACAAATCCAATCACATCTGAGCATCAGGAAAACTTTTAAAATAAGCATTAAAGATGACCAATACTTGTAATTAATTATTTTTGAGATGAGGACCCGAGGCAATTATAGCAGTGGATTCTCGTCCTTGCATTCTGTGGCAGTGGTTTCATCGTGTAAAGGAGTTTGTAGAGTTAAATCTTTTTACATAAAACAGTGAGTATTAGGTACAATGATACTGCGAAATTCCTATCAAGGCAAAATCGCCATCCATCCAGTGACCCAAGACTGAAATCCACAGAAAGATCTGTCCTAAATCTGTGTCCCTTTCTTGATCCCCGCATTTCCGCCTCCCATGGGAGGCTCACGGCTACCTGTCCCCCCTCTGCACCCCTCTACCACTGTTGTCTTAGTTCTGGCAAAGAGGCTCACCTCCTGTTTGGACAGCTGCAGCATCCTCTCACTAGAGCCCTGCCCCTAGTTTTATTTCCCTCAATCATCCTCCAGACAGCTCTTTTTACGTGAACAGGTCAGATTATGCTACTGCCCCACGGTCTGCAGGGCAGACAAGCAGCTCTGTGATCTGGCTTTAGTCTTGCCCCACACCCCGCCCCCATCACTGCGGGTTCCACGGCTGGACATGTCCTTTTCTATGTGTGCCTGCCACCCGTTCTTGCTTCTTTCCTTAAGTAAGTAACGGGCTACTATGTGCTAGCCATAGGACCTAGGATGGCCAGCCTCCTAGTTTTTGCATCTACCGAACCTTTATTGAGTGCTTCCTATGGTCGAGGATGAGCTGGGAGCTTTCTATACACTACTGGATTTATCTCCACAACAACTGTCTGAGGTAGGTATTATAAATGAGGAAAATAAGGAAACTGAGGCTCAGAGCAGTAGAGTAACTTGTCCAAAGTCACGCAGCTAGTGAGTACACTCCCGGTACATGCTTAGTTCTCTTTCAAGTTCTACAGTGATGCCTCTTTGATCAAGCCATCTCTGTATTTCTTCTCCCCTTATTTCCTTTTACAGAATTTATTATCGCTTCCTATTGTACCCAAAATTATACTATACACATTTTTGCACACCTCCCTACTATAATTTAAGTTATTTGGAAGAAGGGGCCATTTCTTTTTTATTCCCATATCCTTGATATACTTGTATATAGTTGGCACTAAAATCCATGTGTCCCGAAGGATTAAATCCACGAGTGAATGGAACATCCGCAGGTTGGTTGCTCTTAGGCAGATCTTCTTGACCACCTGACTCCATTACAATTGTCCCGTACAACAGAAACCATCTCTTATACGTAATCCTCACCTCACGGTGCAGTAATAGCTGCCCTTGTCTGAATGTTTAATATGTACCAGGCTCTATTTTTATAATTTTGCTCTTTACAAAAAGATTACAAGTAAAATAATTTTGTCCCTCTTTGCAGATGAAGAACTTAAGAGTTAAGAGGTAAGTCATTCACCCAAGTTCATTCAGTTAATAATTAGTGGACTTGTTCTACTCCTGAACCATCCATCCCACCCTCCGCCTCTGGATAGAGCCCCTTCATGAACGTGGACTCATGAGAAGAACGTGGGACAACATATTTTGGAAAATTTTCAGTATTTATGTCAAGTTGATGTCAAAAGATAGCACATATTCCCTATTCATTATCTCCAAGAGGCAAGAATAACACACACAGATTTCCAAGCCACAGAACAATTCCAAACTTCCTTTTACACTTTCAGGTTTTTTCTTAACCTATAAAATATATTTAACCAAAGATGTTAAATGTCCCTTAGGAAATGGGGTCTCTTTCAACAAAGCTACTACTGATTGGATTGATTCCGTTCTCCCTTCTCAACCACAGGATCATCCCTTCTTAGAAAAAAAAAAAAGAACGAAGAGAAGGAAACAGATAATCAGAGTTCAACATTATTTCACGTTATTTCTGTACATTTTCGTGGTGTAGAGAACATCTTAGAGGAAAAGAAAACATCTTCCAGTGAATTTTTCCCCATGAAGACCAGGCTGCATTTCATCCCTTCATTGATATTTTTTCCCTTCTGTGTCCTCTAGCGGGTTCTGGTTATTGGGCAGCTTGGTAACCGACTGTAGACAATGTGTGTAGCAGTAATTATATATGAGCACTACCATTAAATTAAATTAAACATTGATAATTAGAAGAAAGAGTTAATTTTAAACATTTAGCAACAAAAAAATTTAGTTTCATTTGCTATAAGCAATTTGTTTCTATTCTAAGCAAAATGTCCGAAATTTTTGTGGAAGGTATTTTGTCACTTACCTGGCCAGCAGTTACAAGTGTAATTGTCAATACTGTCCTCACACGTAGCATTATTGTGACAAGGTTTTGACCAGCAAAGAGGCATCGAGGTCTCACAGTGTGTTCCTGTGAATCCACTACCCGTGCAGTTACAGCTATATCTGGAGAGCAAATAAATTTTTATGTCAATTCTTGGTCATATTGAGTTCAAATATCTTTATCCTGTCTCTTCATCTGTCCATCAACCTGAGACCCACAGCACAATCTTAATAAAATACCTACTCAGAAACTCTGGGGAATTATCTCTATAAACCTAAATGCTTTATGTGTTTCCATATTAATGTCTTATCATTTTCTTTTTTAAAAATTTATAATACAGTTTCATGCAAAATTATTTGGAAACCATGATTATTTACTTCAGTTTCTTCATCCATAAATTGAAGATAATAGTACATACGTCACAGGGTTATTGTGACAATTAAATATGCATATAAAGAATAGACACAGTATTTCAAGTATCCAAAAGTATTGAATAAGTTACTACTAAATAGTACGAAGTAAAATTGTTAATATTTTTTAAGGCAGTAGAGGGTGATTTATAACATCATGACATTCTTTTATATATAGAACCCATTAATAAGGTCCCTTATGAAAAATGAAACAATAAATTATGAAAAACTCAGGAAAAGCCCTCATTAGATGAATTGTGACTTATGATGTTCTCTTATTTTTAGATTACAAGAGATTGTAGTCTTGCTATTTCTTTTTCTTTTTTTATTTTTTTTTTCCTTTTTGTCTTTTTCCATGTCCGGCAACGGATCGCAACCCTCAGTGTTGCGCCCATACCGGACCGGGACCGGCAACGGGATCACAACCCTCGGCGTTGCCCCCGCACCTTGCTCAGCCAGTGAGCGGGAACCGGTCTGTATGTGGGATCCGAACCCTCGGCGGGAGCGCCACTGCACTTCCCAAGCTATTTCTAATCATTTATTGAGTGGGGCTGTCTGACAGTCCCCAAATACAAATGTGATGGGGACGCTTGCTGACTTTATTAAGCAGGCACTTTTAATTTAGGTAGGATCTCAAGGACTTAGTTTTGTAAAATATGGATGTAGACAGTCAGCTTAGAAACAATGAGGGTTTGGGGGAGAGGATATGTATGAATTTACAAAGCAGCTAGAGTCCTGTTCGCCATGGCTGTGCGTGTATTTACCGCAAACATAGATATTAGAACTTTACTAAGAAAACTGAAATAGCAAATGTTACGTGAGTAAAATTTTTATTTGTAGTATCAGTTTAAAAAATCTTTTATTCACTACTCCATTTGTTTAATTAAAAATCTACTATGTGTAAGACATAAGAGACAAAATCCCTCTCCTCAAGGGGCTTGGCTAACTGGCTGGCTGGCTAGTGGACCTCAGTTCATGGAATTAAACCCCACTTGCATCACTTATTTGGCCTGCAAGAACCTTTTTTCATGTATAGTTTCTGACTTTCCCATACAATCCATAGCAAATACATCAATTTTTTATTGTGAGAAAATAAAGTCAAATCATACTGTTTGACCTTGGTTGACCGTGTGTTTATCTTCTCAAACTTTTGGTAATAAGAGAGGTGAAGGTAAAATAAAGATGTTATTCATGGCACATTCAAGTGAGGAGAATAAAAGATGGCAAAGTTTCAGCCTTGTTTTTTTACATTTCCATGGTAATCAAAAGCTTCATGTAATTTCTGTCCTGAGGCTTCCTGGAGACAGTGAAGCATGGATGGAAAAGCCCCCTTCTCTTTCTCTGGAGATCTTAGGCAAACACTTCCACTCTGGTCTGTCTGTCTGTGTGTTGGCCAGTTACCTGTCTCCAGGAATGTAGACTGATGTCATGGAGTACTATTTGGGTACATCTAAGTCAGAGACAGGACATGGAATGTGCTTAAGAAAGTTGTATATTTTATAAAAGAAATGTACAACCACGTTGCACTATTTAAAATGCTATTATTTTGCTGGATATATTTGAAGCACACATGCCTTTTTTTGCTTTCCTTTTGATTCTCATTCTCTTTAAAATTAGATTTGGGATAAATTATGTCTCATTTACTAAGTAAAGGAAAATTGGACTCTAGCCCTCCGTTTGCAATGAATTAACTATGTAAACTCATGGTAATCATCTGACTTCCCTGAACGTTAGAATTTTTATTATAATATGGGAACATTAATGCTCATCTTGCTTTCCACTGAGCTGTTAAAGGATCAGACAAGATATTTTAAGTGCCAATGCTGTTAAAAATTGTTATACATTCGATAACCCAGTATTTGTGGTTTTAATACATACCAGAAAGTTTTTGCAAAATATTTTACATGCGCTTAACTACCTCTACACAGCTCTATTATATTAATTATATTAAGGAATAATTTATTGTTGTTCTTTTTGTCTGAAAACCAATGATAGAATTTATTTGGAGCAGAATTACATGGCTACTTCTCAGCATTAAGCTTTCTCAAAAGTATTCACCAATTCCCCAAACACCTGGAGATTCAAGACATACAAAATTAAATATCACTAACTTTTCCAACACTGTTTATATAAAATTCCTAAAGGATTATTTTCACCACTTGATTTATATGTTTATCATCATACAGATACAACCTCCTATTCACATATAAAAAATCTCTAGCTTTGTTTTTGCACCTTTCTTGTCTACAGCTGATTTATTTCATGGAATTGAAAAGCTGATACTTTCCCATAACATAAGCAGTTCTAAACTATTACAAGAGTGACCTGGAAAATCCTCACTCTTGGGAGAGATGAATTCCCAAGGATGCATTTTTTAGTAAAATCTGAATGCTACATCTTTTCATCCTTTAAAGTATAAATTTTAAACTGGGGATGTGATATCTCCAAATTCACCAAAGTGGTCGAATAGTTCTGGGTCAGTGAGTTCTAACCAAACCCATCACCCAATTGCAGAAGAAAATGTACCTGTTTCCTCCATCGACGCATAGCCCTCCATGGAGACAAGGCTGACTGGCACACTCATCAATGTCGAGTTCACAGTGATCCCCTAGGAACCCAGGGGCACAGTCACAGAAATAAGCGCCCAGAGAATCCTGACAAGTTGCACCATGTAGACAGGGCTGGGACCAACATTCGTCAACTTCCAATTCACAGTTTACACCTTTTAAAAAAGTTAGAACAGAAAAACAGCTTCAACCAAGTGTTAATATTTTAGCTATTTGGCAATGCTTTATTTACTAAAACATTTGTCAAGTGTTATGTTACCCAAAATAATTTTCCTCCGTAGCTGTAATTGATATTACCTTTTGGTGTGCTTGTGGGAAGCTGCACAAAACAGAGCAGCTGTTACTTACAAAGAACTATTGCATAGGACAGCTTGTGGCTTTCTGGTCTGGGGAAACAGTCATTTTTAGAACAAAGCTATTGTTAACTGTACTTTCATTGGAAACATAAAAGGAACTGGTCGACGTTTGTGAGTAATTTTTAAACACTTAATTTAGTTGGGCAGTATATAGAATAGCAGGTAAAAGCTCACACTCCAAAACCAAACAGCTTGGGATGGGACCTTGTCACGGTCACTTTTAGCTGTGTGGCTTTGGGCAAGTTTCTTCACCTTTCAATATTTCAGCTTCCTCACCTGAAAAACAGGAACAATGCAACTGCCTCATGGAATGATTATTATTATAGTTAGACGTGTTCTAAAGGGCTTATAACAGTATTTGCTAGAGAAAGAAACATTTGTTCTTTCCACAAAAATCTGTTGTACAAATGGGATGTGCAATTATTTACTTGCGTGTTCCTCTTGCATAGACATTTTTTATTTTCATTTTTCTTTAGTGTTGTAAAATACTACTTTTAAATGTAAAATCAGTTTGTGACTTAACTTTAATGTTATCTGTGGTATCATTAGAAGCTACTTTATTTTAAGTAATGTTACATCTAAAAAATATATAAATTTATACCCTTGAAAGTAGTAGGTGAAGTTTATTTGCTAAGCAAAATAAGTTTAAGATTTACAAAAGCTGTAGTCGTATTGAGATAACAAACTATCATACTGAATCTGTCAAAATAGTATTTGATACATGATGGAGTTTGGATGTGTTGTCCCCTCCAAGACTCATGTAGAAATTTGATCCCCAACGTGGCAGTGTTGGAAACTGATTGAGTCGTGGGGGCAGATCCCTCATGAATGGATTAATGCTCTCTCTGGGGGAGGGGAGATTAATGAGTGAGTTCTCGCTCTATTAGTTCCCGCGAGACATGACTGTTTAAAGGACACTGGCACCTTCTCTCTCTCTCTCTCTCTCTCTTGCTTCCTCTTGCCATGTGATCTGCTCATACCCACCAGCTCCCTGCCACTTTCCACCATGAGTAGAAGCAGCCTGATGAGGCCCGTGCCAGATGCAGCTGTCCCAGAATCGTAAGCCAAATAAACCTCTTTTCCTTATAAATTACCCAGTCTCAGGTATATCTGTTATAGCAACACAAAATGGGCTGAAACAATACACAATAATCGAATTTGCATACAGGTTTTAGAAGACACAAAAGGAGGAATATCTATACTTACCCATCGTTATTTCTGTGCCTATAACCCAGAATAAATAAATTGTATATTAAAATGATATTTTGGGATTCTCAAATAACTCAGAAGCCATTATTAATTTGGTTGATTTAGTGCCCTTTTTTCCTGTTAGAAAATGCAGTAGGATATTCTAACACCTCTTACCATTTACAGTTATTGTGAGATTCTACAAATGCCTAACTTAAAAGGTATGCCGGCATCATAAATGTGGACTGTTTTTTTGAGAAGAAAAAAAAATGCCTTTAAATTTATATTAATAAAAATGGAAACTTGTGCAATAGCAAGTGTTTCTAGGCAAATGGCTTGTTCTTTGAGGCTTGGTTATTTCTTACCCAGTCTGTGAATGAGATTTTCCGTATCTGTATTACTCGGCAGCAATAATGCCAGAAGAAAGAGCCCTGAACCGAACACGGGGAGACCTGTGTTCTCCTTCTAGTTTTCCTTTCGTAACCATCTCTCTTTTCAGCAACGTTTCAATAGCTTTATTTCTTCCATGTAAAAGAAGATAATAGTAGACACCTCCTTCTATTTTCTAAGAGTGTATGAAAGACAAAAATGAACAATTCTTTAAAGTTTTTTTTTTTTCTTTTTGTTTTTTTTCGTGTCCGGCAACCGATCGCAACCCTCAGTGTCACGCCCGTACCGGACCGGGACCGGCAACGGGATCGCAACCCTCGGTGTTGCTCCCACACCTCCTTCAGGCAGTGAGCGGGAACCGGTCTGTATGTGGGATCTGAACCCTCGGCGGGAGCGCCGCCGCGCTCCCAAGCGCCGCACTCTCCAGTGTGCCACCGGGCCAGCCCACAATTCTTTAAAGTTTTTTAATGAAATTATCTTTAACATAAATAGCTACTAAAACTATAATGTGTTAGTACTCAAGAATGACAAAATGCAAATTTACTCCCTTTAGAACGACACTGACTGATCATGACTTTAGGCAGAGTGAAGTATGCTCACACATGAATGTCCGGTCAATGTGGGTTCCCATAGCGCTCTCTGTATGGAGGGAAACTGGTACGTGCACTGCCTACAACATGCGGGGCAGGGCAGGGTGATTTCACGTGCATTTCTTTATTTCACCCCACACATTTAAGGTAAGGATGAGGAAAGTGAGACTCAAAGTGCTTCACCAACTTGCCCATGTCACACAGCTAGAAAATGACAGTGTTTCTGCAATTCCTGTCTCCTCCTAGTCCAGTTCTTTTGCCAATTCCTTTTTGCAAAGGGAATTGCCTATATGACACTGGATTACGTCCTTTGATATTTTAGTCATCTATATTTGCTGGGAAGTATTAAAATAGAAAGCCAAACTTGTGGTTTAAAACTTGACAATTTTAAAAATTTTGTCTTTCACAATTCAAGTTAAATCCATAAATTCATTTGATAGAAGCCCAGATTACTTCCAAATGCTTGAGAAACACACCATAAACTGTTATTTTGAATACTGCAGCTCCATTTATTTTTTGAAGTTCAAATACTTTGGTTTTAAAGGGATCTTGATGCGTGTATCTGAATGTGTTTCAATAGCATAAATACAATTGCAATTCAAACAACTATTTACCTTGGGATAAATTATTTGTATTACTCTCAATACTGCTTATCAACATGTTTTTTATTGCAGTTTATCACTGATGCAGATACAGAAGAAAGCGATTTCGTCTATGTCTGCATTATGCTAAAACAGCCAGATGAAACTCGTCAGTCATCCAGATGTTCTTAGATTTTCAGATACTTGGCTTCATAGATAAAACATCTGGATAACCATGATTTTCATTTTTCATTTGGATGCTGTCAAGTACTTTCAGCCATTAAATATACACAAATAATCAACTTACAAAAAGTACCTGAACTGTGTGGTCCATTCTATCTGGAAACATTTATTTTATGACTAATGTTACTAAGAATGGCACCATGTCATTATAACTCTGTATAGCAATAGAAATTGAATGCAGTTACAGTGGGTAGCACTTCTGTGGCTGATTCTCTAAGAAACAAAAATTTCTTCATTGTGAAATTATTTCATAAAAGTTCATCTAGGAGCCAAAAATCTGTTGGAGTTGGTTAATAGTTCTGTATGAAACAGAAGAAAATGGAAAGGGTAGCAGAAAAATAAAACACAGGACGAAGAGAACGGTGCACCGAAAGAAGAATGTGTCACATGGGGACAAAGTTATACAAATCTATCTGTTCCCTATAGGATGTAAGGGACTTTTCCATCACTTTTATTGACTCTTCTACATAGAACATAGAACAATGCCTGATTTATTGCAGGTACTCAATGTAAATGTGTTGAATAAATTAATGACTTTTTAAAATTTTTTTTTATTATTTTATTATTTTATTTTATTTTTTTCCTTTTTGTCTTTTTTTGTGACCGGTAACGGGATCGCAACCCTCAGTGTCGCGCCCGCATCGCGCTCAACCAGTGAGCGGACCGGTCTCTATATGGGATCCGAACCCTCGGCGGGAGCGCTGCCGCACTCCCAAGCGCCGCACTCTACCAAGTGCGCCACCAGGCCGGCCCAATTAATGACTTTTTAAAAATTCATATAATGTATCTTAGCCAGTTTTGTGCTGCTATAACAGAAAACCTGAGATTGGGTAATGTATAAAAAACAGAAATTTATTTCTCACATTTCTGGGGACTGATAGGTCCAAGATCAAGGAATTTGCAGGTTTGGTGTGTGGTAAAGGCTCAGTCTCTGCTCCTAGGTTGATGCTTTAAATGCTGCATCCTCCAGAGAGGAGGAGCACAGTTCCTCACATGGCAGAAGAGCTGATGGGGGTGAACCCACTCCCAAAAGCCCTTTTTATTGCAGCATTAATCCATTCATGAGGGCAGAGCACTTTAGGCCCCATCTCCTAATGCTGTAGCACTGATGACTGTTTCCAACATACGAGTTTTGGAGAAAACAAACATCCAAACCCTAGCATCATGCAGTTAGAAATGTTGCTACTAATAAATACTTTATATAAAAACCTACTTTTAATTGATTTTTTTCCTTGTCTCAGGGACTTTATGAAATAAGAGTAAAGGATGTCACCCAAAAATCCACATAATTGACTACATCAGTGGTTTATAAAGGTGTGGTCTCTGAATCAGCAGCATCAGCATCACATGGGAACTTATTATAAATGCATATTCTTCAACCTTATCTCAGATCTATTGAACAAAAAGACATATTTTAACGATAAGCTCTCCAGATGAATCTGGTGCATGCTAAAGCTTGAGAGCCATTGATCTACCTTATAAGTTCATTGAGTCAGAAAATACAGTTGAAATTTTATTGCACTATTAATTTTTTTATATTGGAGATTTCAAGTTTCCCTTGTATAAAACAAGTTTGAAAATATTCTGGCCTTGATAAATGTTAAGAGACTCGTCTTTCTGGTGACGCTTATATCTGCCCTTTCCCATGCCAGGTCCTAATATCTCAAGCCTGGGTTATTGCAATGGCCTTCTAACTAGTCTCCATGTATCAACTAGTCTTCTAACTAGTCTCCATGTGCTAATATATTTTCTTGAATATAGAATAAAATTTTAATATATTTTTGTTTCTGAAATAGAGATGCATATT